GGAATGATTTCAAACTGTTTTATTTATCCTAATAATTATAAAGGAGTGCCTTGGAAATATGTGTTTACATAATTTGTGGTCAAAACGTTTGAGACCCACTGAGATAACTTAGACTAGAATTAACTATCTAAACACTCAGAGAGTCCTTCACCTCACTGAGCCTCTCAGTCTGACAGGAGAGCTCTCCTCCACCCTGGTTGTAGAAACATCTACTTCTTATATCCTTTAGCGCAGCTAGCACCAGATTCTAATAACAACAGCGCCGGTACCGGTGCGCCCTCTCCCTTGCTCGCTCTCTCCCTACCACGCTCGCACTTTGGCTGTGAGCTGCGGGCGCCTGATAAGCCAACATCCCCCGCTTTCATCACTTACAGCACCCACCGTACAGGGCAAATTAAACGTGTAACCGGGGTGAAAAGGGTGTTACATTTACTTAATTATTAATGTTGTGACATCAAGGCCGAACATTTGGATGAGCGCCAACGGTCACAAATGTTTTTTCCCTCCCAGAGCTACCAGCGCAGAGCCCCCCAGATCTGGCGCCCTATGCGACCGCCTGTGTCGTTCTATGCCAGAAATTGGCCCTACCTAGTACATACAGTGGCAATGTCTCAAGATTTAGCAAAAATACACCTTTATTGAACATACAGTAACACAAATACTACAAATCCACATAACAAACAATCAAAAATGAAAAAGGGTCGCCACTTATTATTATTTTAAGAAAAAAAAAAAAAGTAAAAAAAAAAAATCTTTTCTTTTTTGTTGTTGTTACCTGGCTGGCACCCCCTAGCAGCGGCGCTCATATTTCAGCAGCGGCGCTGCGCCGCCACTATTTGTATATAGGGGAAACACTGAAGTCTTTGTCATTTTTTGTCTCCACTCACCGCTGAAGTTGAGCAGGTGTGTGAAGAAGAAGGAGTGTTTGTGGAAGTCTTCTATGGCCGTCACTATGGGTCCATCCAGGCTGCTGCGGAGAGTCTTCTTGGAGCCACTCTTATCTGCTATCAATGACTCCAGCATGGTGCGCACCATGTACAGCTGGAGAGGGACAAACATAGGAAAACATTCGTTATTTTCTGGTCATACTTTGATGTAGCATGGGGTTCATTCAAAATAAAAATGTGCACTTTTTTAGGAGGATATGAAAGGGAAACATCTATTTTTGACCTTCAGAATAAAAGCCTTACTCAAAAGAGAAACTAAATACTAAAAAACATATTTTTTGCAAAAGCATATTAATATGTGCAGTAACACATTAAGTGACTCAGTAAGTTAGAAGACATGTGAACATTAGAACAAATGTGTTTGATCACCCCTGTTTGAGCCATTGCACATAAGTGAATATCTTCAGTGAAATGTATTGTTTACATTCAGAATCAACATTATGCTGTTTTGGCTACATTTCCCCTGAGCACCCTGATCTCTTGTCATGATGTCATACCTGTGTGCTAGAGGGTCCTACAGCCCTACGGGGCACTTTGATGTCAAATCCACCTTTGGGGTCCTTCTCCCCCCTCAGGCAGGGGTCATTTGGAGGTTCCCTCGCCCCATCCCAGTCACAGACAGTCTTTCGAATGGCCTGAAGAACACTATAGACAAAGAAAACAGTGTTATAGAAGTGCTTTGGGTCTTTAGGAGTCCCACAAAAGCCGTGAGGGTACATTTAAAGCGATCAGATAGTCACCGTACCTGATGAGGACGTTCTTCTTCTTGCGTACAGCCTGGCGCAGAGGCTCTCTGAGGGTCATCTGGGCAAAGTCCTGCAGCGCTGCGTAGATGGTGTTCCTGATGGCCTGGTTAAACACTGACTCCATTCGGCCCATCAAAACCTAGACAGATCATAACACCATTATCATCCTCCCTTTCATTTGGGCTACTGACCATCAAGTTGGTACACAGGAACAATATATATTGACATACTAACATAAAGGGAAATACATGTATTCAGAAAATGAAGTGAGCGGTCAAAGGATTAGTTCACTAAAGATGACTTCCAGACATGTTTTAAAGCAATACTTTAACCCCAAGTGGCCATTTTTTAAAATCAGTTAATCAATCTCAAGTCACAGTTAGAATTATTTAAACACTTTTTGTGTTGCTAAGTAAAATATATATGGTTTACAAATCACTGAAGATGCTTACATGTACTGTACTGCCTATATTCCATTTACTCCATTTCCCTCCAAGATCAAAACGAGCCAGTTGAACAGTTTCTGCATTTCCATTCAAATACCTGCTTAGTATTTAAAAGATGACCATTTGCTGTTTGGAGCATAAAGAAGGAGCCACTAAGGGTTGCCAGTGTTTTACCTGTAGTCCTTTGATCATGGCAATGACCTCCACCAGGGCAAATTTCTCCTCACTGGTGTAATTGTATCGCGTGGCTCGTTCGTACTCCTCCGCCGTGCCAGGACAGTCCTTGTTACAGAATTTATCTGTGGGATGGACCAGCTTCCACGAGTACTGGAGGAGACGAGGAGAGTTATAAATAGATCAGAGATACTACGATCAATGGCAAAACCAAACACTTTTCATACCGAATCCCTCGCACAATGCTAACGCCTGTCCCACACAAACTCAGTGTTTCACTCACAACTTCCATGACGTGCGTGCTCCACTTGGACAGCAGCTGCAGACCCCTCAGAGCGAGGTCGAACAGCTCTCTGTACTCCTCGTCGGACTTCTGGCTGTCCAGGCCCGAGCCCGTCACCACCTCGCTGTTGCTGTAGCGCGCCAGCTCCGAGATGAAGCGGATGTGGTCCTCCCTGATCTGCACCATCTGCTCGCACAGATTGTACTGCGGGGAGATGCTGCTCTGGGTGCACGTCCACCTGGGCACAAAATGGAGAGGGTGGAGGGTTAGTGGTGGGCGGGGGCAGATGGCTTGGTGGTCAAGAATGGCTGGTTTTGTCTACCATAAATGTCTACATTCTGACCAATCACACATGGACCCACGTGATGCCGGTACAAGGGGCTTGCCATTAATCAAATAGTGGAAATAAATTAGGGTTAACGCCGTTTCCAACTAATTATTTTTGGGGTTTTGGCTTTTTTCTTTAGTGTGTAATAGTAGTAGTGCATGTCTAAATTGTTAAGTAAGGAAGTAAGGAGTACAATTAAAGACAGATGCACAGCTGACAGTTCACAATCTTTTTGACAATTAAAGGAAATGTTATATCCAAGCATTTCTGCACATTAGACACATCCTCTTACTTGGATTTGTTCTCTTCATAATGGGCACTCGTCTCGATGTAGCGGGAGAGCTCTATCTGCATGTCTCCAAAAAGAGGCACCACTTGAAGCTGAAACACAGAGGAAACAAATGTCACATTCATCTCATGCACACAAATTCAACTCTGGATGAAAGAGATGCAGGAAAAGCAAAAAGCCTTACTTTGAAGAACTTGTCAATCTTGCTCAGGTTGATCCTCTTTTTGGCGTCGAGTTTATAGATATTACTCACGTTCCCATCCATCAGGTACAGACCAAAGCCCATCACCTGACACACACACAGAGGTGGTATGTTTTACGTCAGCTGAAGGACATGTAGCCGGCAGAAGATCACACTTTGACTGCTATGTTGGCAGAAAGAAAAGATCCACGTACCTTTAGCAGCATGTGTTTCTCACTGGGTGTTAAATACATCTTGTTCTCATAATAGTCTACACAGATGTTGACTATGTCTGCCAGAAGCTCCTCGTAGCCAGGAATCACCTCCAACTGTTGATGCAGGCACTACACACAGAACAGAGATGGAAAACGGGTCACCTTCACATCAATTCATTTACACATATATAATAGAAAGGGATCATTCTGTACGAAGATAAATAATACTGCATTTACAATGAAACTAAAGAAAAGCACCTTTGATACAATTGCAGAAAAATGTTTGTTTGATTATGATACGTTTTTATTTTTGAAATGGGCTTTTAGTCACTGAAAAAAACAGATTGTTTTATTAAATGGACCATGCATTCTTTTTATTAAACCAAACATATGTTTGAAATGATTATAATTATGTTTACATTTTAAATGAACTACCAGGTTACAGTCACAAAACAATCATCTAAAACAAATGTTCTTCTTTTGTATTTCCCCATCATTATTTGAGCAAATGTGAAAGTTTAATACCACTTGTTCAGCAGGTCACCTGTTGATATGAAGAGCTAAATGGCTTCATAATATTCCTAACATTATCCTTCGGAGAGTAAAAATCTCATCTCATGTGCTTGTGTAGCAAGGCACAAAGTGTTTTGAGCAACACAAAAAAGGAAGCAGCCTTGAAACTACAGTTAAGTGAACACAAACTCTAGTTATTTCAAAATGTAATCAGCTATAATCCATATGTTTACCATACCCTACAGAGTCTGCACACCAACCTGAGTGATCCTGTTGTGGTTGGCTAAAAACATGGAGAGGTTTTGGGACTCCTGGATGGACTGAGGGTCGGCCATCTTCCTCAAGAATTGAGCTGCCCTGGAGGCGGGAGAGGAGGTGATGTTGAACAAAAAAAATGACTGTAATGAAGTATTCTAAATTAGCAGTCTTTTGTATTTTGGTTCATTACCTTTTGTAGGCAGAGTGATCGTTCTTAACGCTACACTTCATGTTCTTCAGTTCGTCCAGCACTGCAAACATGTTGATGAATTTTCCCAGAGTGAGCAGGTAGGCCTCAGACACAAAGTCCTTCCTTCTCTCGGCGTGACACAGACGCTTCACTTCGCTACAGAAACGTTCTATGGCTTTCCGCTGTAAGACAAAGGAATCAGGATATAGGGAATCATTAGAATAAAACACAAGAACACTATCTACAAAAACACACCTGACATGCAAATTCAACATGCAAAGGATAATTTGCATCATCATTTGAGCCCAATTTTAGCCGACTATGACTCTTGTCCTTATATGGTTCATTTAAATCATAAGGTATAAAATACAACATGATGTAGCCTAGTCTCACCTGGAAGTACATGAACTTCATGAGCTTGGTCACTTCAGGTTCTAGCACCTCCACGGTTTTCTCATAGATCTCCACTCTGTTGGGCTGCTCGTTGCATTTCACCTAGCAAAACACAAGAGGGCGTCATTTTACAACATGATCTTGCAGCAGGACAGTGTGTTTAGTTCATGCACAATTCATGCTATTATTTTATTTTTTCCCCTCACCCAAGGTTTAATTGTTCGATATATATATATATATATATATATATATATATATATATGTTTTTATTATGTGCCATGGTTACATTTGGGAAATCCTATTATGTGCAATAATAATAAAACGTGTTTTTTTTCTCCACTGCTTCTGATTAGGTCATCACAGTAAAGAAGAAGGATCTTAAGAGAAATACTTAATCTACATCTACAAAATGAGCCTTTGTATACTAATTTGATAGAAACTGTATATCAACAACAAGACCTTCCTCAAGCAAGAAAACAATTATGTTTACACGAAATTTGAAAAAGAAAGGGAAAAAAACAAGATGAAATAGGGTTACATATACAAATGGTCATTTGGAGGATGAAGTACTCAGTGGCTGAATGACATCATGTCACTTGTCCAAAGCGACTTACATACTCAATACTGTGGGCAATCCCCACAGGAGCAATTTGGGGTGAAGTGTCTTGCCCAAGGACACAACGACGTGCTGACTGCAGTGGGATTTGAACCTGTGACCCCTTGATCCGAACACCAACGCTCTATGCACTGCACCAGACGCCTCCATCAGGTTTGGTAACACATTTCGTGTTAAGCAACCTCTACCATACTGAAGCTACACATTTCAAAAAGACTTTGTCTATGTTCAAGGTGACATGTTATCAGGAACTTACAGGTGGACAAAACCAAGTTCAAAGTGTTGAACACTATAATTCATGTCATAGAAGTGTTTCAGACTCAGTCAGCTGAGCAAGCTCTGAGCGCAAAGGAAAGGGAACATTTGACATGGATGCAATACAAGCAAAGGATAAGGTATCTTGTTAAAAGCATGTGTGGTGAATATGTGTGTGTATAATGTGTGTGTGTGTGTGTGTGTGTGTGTGTGTGTGTGTGTGTGTGTGTGTGTGTGTGTGTGTGTGTGTGTGTGTGTGTGTGTGTGTGTGTGTTACCTGGGGAATGGCTCTGGAGCAGCTTCTCCAAGTGTAAAGCATCACAGCGTACTCATGTCCTTCCTCCAGCATTTCATTCTGCACAAATGGATAAAATAAAATAAAGTTACCATACATTTTTAAGAGGGATGGCCTCATTTGAACCAAACGACATATATATGCACCTTCATACCTTTATAAAAGAATTATGTATGTGTTCAGTAATTACCAATTTGTAATGGAACAGACAATACGGGTAAAGATTAATATCTATGTAAGTGCGGAGTCATGATATGTGTCTAACTCCTTTGTCTGGTATAAATGGAAATGTTGCATAGGCACTTGACAGCCAACATTTTCCCTACGTCTCAGACCAGGCACATATTCCAGGATGAATGGGGCATGATAAATATTTAAGCAAGGGAACATTTGCTTCCATTCAGAAGTAGTGTGAGACAGATTTCTCAATCAGGCTATTAGGGATGTAACGATATATCGAATATTGCGGTAAATAAATGTCTCAATACCGTCTTGAGGCTGACAAAATCTACTGCGATTTTTTTAATTCTTTTTAAATATACATATCATTATTATTTATTTTTTTTAAACCTTTATTCAACCAGATGGTCCCATTGAGATCATCGATCTCTTTTTCAAGGGAGACCTGTCCAACATAGCAGCAAGTAGGTTACAACATGAACATAAAACAACAGATAACACAAAAGGACATCGTATTTACAGGGCTACATGTACATACCTAGAGACATTGACAAGTACCAACAGTGTATTTATATCTCGCCTTGTCAATAAGCCTCACCTTCTTAGCAAAAACTGTATTGTTTTTGAAGTGGTGGAGAGACAATGCGCAGTTTTACCCACTGCTGTCACCCATGGCCAAAGCATATCTCTGTCCCAGCAACATCAGTACCAAGCAAGAGTTTTTTCCACAGCAGGGGATATTGTAAACGCCCAAACATCCCAGCTTCTACCTGGAAATGTGGACATGCTCATATTCCTAAAAGATAACCTTGATGATGCTGAGTGAGTGACTTAGAGTTGAGTTACTTGAAAAACTAAAGTGAAACTTGATTTATTCTATTGCAGGGTCTGATTATTATATTGTTGACACTTTAAAATACTACTATCCTACTAAAATGCCGTACAAATCAGATTTATTATTTAATAAAATAAAAAACAAAAATACATTTTTTTCTTTATTTTTCAATATCGCGATAAATATCGTACCATGGACTTTTTATTGCGATATTATCGTACCGTGAGTTTTTGGTATCGTTACATCCCTACAGGCTATGGCTAAAGAGAGGAGTGTCCTCAAATAGATAGGCTTCAACCTCAGTGGGAATTCCTGATTAAATAAGGTTAAGTAAAGCGCTACTTCCCCTCTTTGCCAGTCAAATCACACTCTCTGCTCATTCACCATCAGGGGAAAGAGGTTTAGTGGTTCATTGCCTGCCTCATTGTGAGAAGGTGGTGTGTGTGTGTGTGTGTGTGTGTGTGTGTGTGTCTGTCTGTGTGTCTGCCTGTCTGTGTGTCTGTGTGTCTGCCTT